AAAATACTCTCTCTCTCTCTCTCTCTCTCTCTCTCTCTCTCTCTCTCTCAATGCATACTAAAACAGTATAACCGAATGATGCTTCCAATCGCAAGCACTTCAACAATTTTTAGATGAGTGGTCTTGATGCATACTAAAACAGTATAACCGAATGGTGCTTCCAATGGCAAGCACTTAAAACATTTTTAGATGAGTGGATTTCCTTAAAGCATAAGGAGTCATAGTTACATCTTCTGTCCAAATATAATTGCATTGCTGATTGCCGCTTCAAATACAAATTTCTTTAAAGAGCATTACATTAGGTATGAAGCGATCTCTTTCAAAACCATATGATGACATTATATCCATTTTCTTTAGGTCGCGTACCCCATGGCATCAGTTTCTTTCTTGTGTTAAGGAATGACTTCTGCTCTGGAAACATATGTTAAGATCAGTAATCATCATAAATAAACAAATGATAATAACAATTTAATAATATATCCCGAAAATTTCAGGGCCCAATCTTTTAGAGTATGAAATACACGATGAGTTTCCTAGTTTCGACGACTTCCGTATCAAAGCATGAAATACGATATAAGTTTCACTTACTGTGATTAGTTTCTTCAACTGTTCTAAAAGTTTCACTAGCTGCTCCTGTTTTGAAAGAAGGTTGCGCAATTCCTGGGAGAAATGGCCATAACACTGACTTTATACTCACACAAACTTACTGCCGCTTGATTTACTAAAAGCTACCAGGCACAAGTCTTCTGACTCCTAGAATTAAGGAAAGTTATCGAACATAGGTTTATCAAAACACTAGATCACCCAAAAATTATTAGACAGTTTACAGGGTCGATTATCTAAACATTGAACTTCTTTTCTTTTTCTGGGAAATACCAAACTGCCAGGTATATTAAAAACTGCTAGGCACAAGTTTGCCGGTCACTAGATTAATGAAAAATTTTCAGATGAGACTCAAGTTCACCAGCCACTAGATCTATCTAAAACTTCTACACACAAGCTTATCAACTCCCAAATGTATTGACAACTGGTAATGCTATATATTATGAATTGACATACCAGTTCAGTTTCGTCAAGCCCAGCTTCCAATGCCAGTATTTTCTTGGAAATTTGTTCATCAATGTCTTTCATTTGTGAAAGTGGATTTGGGTCATTTTTAAAGCTACTTATTTGGACTGCTGCTCCACTAGGCCTAGTTGTGCGTCTTTCACTCGTATCAGAAAGATGGTCATTCTGCATGAAGTCCTTCAATTTTGTCCCCTGCCTTACTAGGTTCTGAAAAATAGCTCCCACAATCAACGAAAATTAATTACGCCATGCAAAAAATGAAGACTTACAAAGAAAATATCTTTTCCATAATAGAAGAGTAAAATAAACATAAAATATGACAAAAATGACAAACATACTACTAAGCCCATTTCACTAAAATTGTTAGTGTGCATTGTCATGTGAGGAATAGAGTTAATTATTTTTGTTATTCTCCAGTTTTGTATCGTAAAAACCTTTTGTTATACCAAATGTGTGAGTAATCAATGTCCCAGTTCAGGTAGTCGCCATGGGGGTTAATGAGATCCATCCAACTGGTCTCCAGATGCTTTTACATGGTAACAAAAAACAAAAGACTTGAGCTTCAGGAAAGCTTGAAATCCATTCATCTGATGAGTTTCAACCAGATGAATGAGCTTAGCAGACATATCCATATCTGGAAATTCCATGAAGTGGGCTTTATCTCTATGATTCTCATACAAATATACTACTCTGGAGAACCAAGGAATCACCAAGAGTAATTTACAATTTCAGGTACAGAAGATTCTTCGGCAATTGCATCACTAAGGGCTTTACTATCGAGCCTTCCTGCCCCATCAAGGATTGCCTGCGAGCATAGTAGTTAAACAACTATCAGAAATCCAACAAGAGCTATACACTCAAAGTAATAGCTGGTTTGAATATAATCTGATAACTAAAAGTACTGATAGAAATTTGAACTTAGGAAAAACTAACCTCCAATATTTTTATGATTTCAGGATCATTCCACGGCCCTTTATCATTAAGTAAGCAGCCTCCATAGTCAGAACATTCACAAATTCCACCCAAAAATTTTGGCAAATTACTGTAGGGAAAAGGAATATTCCATGAGAAGAACAAGCACCATTGGAGATGTGTGAACTCATTCTTGTGTGAAACCAGTTGTGTGTTCATTTTCTTTCATTTAACAACCCAAAACAAACCCGTAAATGTACCTAAGATCAACCACTTCAAGCAGCTTACTGTGATATTTGTTCCCTAATACCTGAAAGTGTATTGTCAAAAATTAGACGATGAACATTTACACTTTGGGGTATTTGGAACAAGAAGGGTGGAAAGTATAAGATTACGAGAACTTCTTACATTAATCTTTGCTGCTGTCCTGGGATCCAGGAAAACTTTTATGGTATTCCACAACACCTTAAATCCCGGTCCAGCATTTATTATAAAAAGTTGATTAAGAGTCTGCAAGAAAAAAATTAAAATGAATATTAAACTCTACTTTAATGTAAGAAATTTTCAAGGTTCTCTCACTGATGTGTCTAATGCGTTCTAACATTTTATCTTATAACCACTTTGTTTTTTACTTATTTACTTAGCCCCTGCAAAATGAAATAAAATCCAATTTTTAGCATCTGTCATGTTGAGAATAGCCGCATTTGACAAATCCGTGCATCCTGCCCCAAAAATTGAATTTACAGCAGATACATAACAAGAAAACCTTGAGTAGGCTTGATGCTCAATAAGGAATTGGAGCAGATCCTGGACAACTTACCCTCTCCAAAATCCGAATGTTACATTAACAGGAAAGCAAATCTTAAACCAAGCTGAGGTTCTAAGAAAATGTATATTTTTTGTACCCATTCTACTTTCAAAATGTTTGGTTAACATATGCAAGGATACCTCATTGTGTCAATCCAATCAGTAAGAGGTTAAGCTCAATTTTTTTTTTCTTTCTGAATATGGTAGAAAACCAGTAGACAAGAGCACAGTGAAGTACATCAAGACAACAGAATCCCACTATGCCTTAGCAAAATCAGCACTTTCTTGAAGTTACAAAATCCCTTTTAGTTGGAATGATGTTACCTAAAATCTACTGGTCTGATGACATCTTAACTTACTGGTATACTATTAAGAAATTACCCACAATATTTTCTCCATGTCAATTTAATGGAAAAGCTTCCTTTCGGTTCTTCCTTACTTCTACACTATTAATAAATTACACAATTTTTTCTCCATGTCAATTTAATGGAAAAGCCTCCTTTGGGTTCTTCCTTTTACATGTTACCATCCCTTAATCCACATTGGAGAAGCAGCCAGATAATGATCAACTTGTTCGTCTCAACTTTTCTCCTCCTATAATCATTTCAGATACTATTTCCAATGCCACCTCCAAACAAATCAGGAATGTCAAACACAACAGCAACTATTGCTCACTTGAAGAGGAAACCGTTATGGAGAATGAAGACCAAAGACAAACACCACCTCACTAAAACTGTTCTCTCACATTTGCATCTCACCTCACCTCCAGGTTCTCCAATTACTTAGATTGCACTGGGAAAGGAAAAATTCATCATCTATCCAAATTAGAGTGATCTCATGCCATGTATTTTCTGATCCCTACAGTACTTTTTTTCCTACACTATATTTCAGAAGCTTGCAGTTAATGCAGCTGTCATATGTAATAAATCACTCCGCTATTCTTAACTTTCTTGATTACAATAAACAACAAACAAACATCAATAGATTTTAAAAAATATCTCAAAATAAGACAAAGGAAGTTTGGTAGAGGAAGAAATCTTTGACTCAATATGACAAGTACCTCAGGGTAGTAGTTGCTACCAATCTTTTGGACTTCAATGAAAAGATCTTTAGCAGTCTTTGTGAAGTTCTTCATACCCTGAAGGAAGTTTTTCTAAAATTTCATAAGTACTGTTCCATCATGTTGTAAAGGAACTAACAATAATTGATGGCTGCAACAAACATCATATACACTTGGTAAAAACAAAAAAATGTGTTAACACCCCCAGAGCAATTGTTCTTGGGAGATTATATGGAAAACCAAGTACACAGATTTACCACTCCAGACACGTCCAGGATCGTTGTTGTAGATGATATGTGCCTTTTTGCTGCAAGAGAGCATGCAGGAAACCTCAATCTCAAAGTCTTTTCCAATTCTGTGATGCGATATTTTACGTAACGATCTATTGTAGTTACACACTCCAGAGAACTCATATCTATCAACCCCATCCTTTCAATATATAGTGGTCTACCGCTTCTATCTACCCCATGAAACCCATGCGGGTAATACTTCTTTACCTCCTCATACTCCTCGAATTTAAAATTCTGCATGAAGACATTCCTCAAATTAGTAGTTGAAGATGGTACTCATTACACTAGTTAATACAAAGAAAACTTTTATATTGACAAGGGGGGCCTATCCACAAATAATGATCAAAATCACCAAATGTGATACCTGATATTGAATGAGCACCATTACTTTGTGTTAACTTTTCTCAGAAGTTAGTCATTTTATCAAGCATGGATAATAGGGCAATATTGCAGGCATTTAAATTGCAGGACGAAATAGATTTTGTACGTGTGAAGATATTGCTGTCAATCTCATATGCTACAGGGAACAAGGTCTCTCGTTCTTTGTTTAAAGACATATGCAATGATCTGAAAACCAGACTGGGGGCCAAACTGGAGAAGCGGCTGGTCCGGTGCCATCAAATTGAATTATTTTTTCAATGAGATATTGAACTTGGAGGGGTAGAATGATTCCATGGAAACTTGACTGGATCTTCTCAAAAAACCATCATTCATTGTCTGATATTCGTGTCAGTGATTTTAATAGATATGATGGCAGCTAGGCATGCTAACGTTATTGTATACAAGGAAGGGTTGAAGTTATGCTTCTAATGGGTTATACACCTCAATAACTTTGGTAACTCCTTATTCATGTTCATTCTTTCACTTTAATAGCAAATGTAACTTATCTGAAATAAATCTAAAGAAAAAAAACAAATGTTTAAAAATAAGAGAAAAAGATAGGTTTGGTTTTTGTTTAGAAGTACAGAGAATAATTGGTTTGTCGGAGCACATCACTATTACGGTGGGCATGTTTCTTACTATTCTTTAAGGAATCTGGAAAGAACAAAATAACCAGATCTTGAACAAAAAAGTGGCAATGGAAGTCATGGAGCAGATCAAACAATTTGGCTTAAGCAATGTTCTTGGACACGTAAGAAATTAGTCCTGCAGATATGACCAGAAGGTTCAGTTTGAGGTGAACAATGTTAAAAGGGTGGCTCCACGCACCTTCAGAACACTTGAACCAATTTTTGACAGATGCTTAAAAGGAAACCCATAGCCCACTAGTGATGTATGAGTTATTAGACATACGTAGCAGGAGACACAACTGTTGCTCGAGCCCTCCGAGCACACTGTTCTTACACTGGTTCTATAGACTTCAGATTCCAATGAGTTTCTCCATTCAATTAAGGGGGGATCCCACAAAGGTGAATAAGTAATCGTGGAAAGGTCAACGGCATTCCATGGAAGGTACATCACATTTTTGCATAATACTTTGATTTGCGTATAAGATTTAATCTCTTACAAACTTAGATTATGTTAAAAAGCAAATTAAGTGGTCAATAGCCCGCTTATCATAGCTGAGAAAACAGAACAGGTTTTCAGTATATTATGTTGCTCTATTATAAAAGACATACCTAATTAAAAAATTAAAGTGGCAAAGGAAATCTATTTTATTTTATTTTACTTTATTTTTATTTGCTTCGTAAATCCATGGAAGAGGTTAGGACTACTGCAAGTAGTTCTCAACTGGTCAAGGTAAAGGGGATAATCATGTTGATGGTATACCTTTCTTTTTCACTTGACGTTTGATTTTTGTTGAATTTAAAAATTTCTTCAATTATTAAAAAATAATATGATGATATTAATAAACAATGATGACATTGACCATGGCAATGATGAAGTTGGAAACAATATGCATGGTTAGATGTCATGGAAGAGACAATGATGGGAAATATACTGATGATATTCACCTTGGTAGCTTTGGGTTTGTATTACCAATTTGATACTGAAGAGGCTTACTACCAGTACTGCAAGCATGCCCATGACTATAATCAGTATTTCTAAGCTTCTAAATGATCATAACTGTTGTTTTTCCATGACATATTGCATAATCTTTTATAAATAGAGAGATAATTTTCAGATCATTATGAATGTTAGCATGTTTAACCATAAGTTATACATGGAAATTCATAGAGTTACTAACTGTATGTCTCTTTATTTAGGATTGGATTACATGTATATTTGAAGCTGTGGTTTCATGTGTTCCATATCACAATAAGCCATACCATACAGTGAATACACATCAAATACATGCATGTCACAATCCCTGTTCGAATGCATAATCTTGCACATGAATATCATCTTTCCACAACACGTGCATGCCTTTAATACTTTCATACCTTTTGTATCCCTTAATTTCTGCAGATATGCTATTATTTTTTCAAAGAACAAAATTACTGGCTAGGTCAACTTGGGATTCTGCAAGTCAAGTCAGTGTACAAAATGGACCACTGAGTTAGTGTCTAAAACATTTCTTGTTGTGCAGTATAATGGTTCACATGACATCCTACCTTGATTTGGTTGGTGATGAAAATTATGAAATGATAAACAAAGGATCCTTTGCGAATATAGTTTCATATAAAATGCTAAGGCATGTTCATGCATTATATCGAAAAATTAAAAAGAAAAATAAAAAATTTCATGCAAGAAACATTCAAATAAAAGAGCTCACTAAGATAGACTTAAGTTTCTCAATCATTAATGAATCAAATCTATTCATATCAATAAAGTCTTTTTGAAACCAAAACATTATTATCACACATGGTGCAAACTTCGGAGTTCTTCCAAATATTTATGGCTTATATCCACCTCAACCAGTGCATCAACATGATTCTCGTTGCGCCACTTCAACATGTTCAACCATATATCTCTTGCTTTAAGTGCATCAAAACGTCTAGCACGTAGAAAACTGGATGAAAGGGATAGAGAAATGATTGTCAAAAAAAGTTACAAATATGACAACACAGAACTACTATTAAGATCCAATGAGATAGGCATATTGCTATTAATACAGAAGTCTATTCAATTCATCCTTCTGTATGAAAAACGTAGTTAAGTCGGATTATGAAACTACACTATACAGGACATGCAATTTTTATTTTTTAGTTACTTTGGATAGCAATTCAAGTACAAACTTTATTTCTTAGCAACTTACCGCAAAAGGGTATGATAATCATCAAAATTTTCAGGAAGTAGGTTCTCTGATAAAAGTATTTCTCGAAATGATCGCACCTTCTGTTCTTCTTGTGGATCGCGAATCCCTTCAAAAACTAGTTGAATGTCCTTCCTCACAAGCCTCTTTAGTGAGGCTTGAAACTTCAGTTTAGCTGTTCTCAAAGATTGGAAACTTAACTTTGATGAAGACATTTGTTTCTCTACATCTTGAGAATGATGTTGCTCTTCAACAGTCAGAGTGAGGAAGCTATCGGATTTTCTCTGGCATGCAAAATCATAGAAATCCAAACGTTTCTCACTGGTCTCAATACTTGATTCTGTGCTTCCATCTATGTTAATCAACTTTGCTGATGGCATTGGTTTATCCTCCATACTGAAGGACAAGATGGGTAGTATATGCTACTTCTCTTTTTAATGCTACTTACTTGCACTACAATGGAGATGTTGGTTCTCTACCTGCAAGTTTTCACTGAAATGTTTTCCCCTTCTCAAATGAGAAAAAGAATAAATTATACCATGAGGTAGTTCTTCTTAAATGCTCATACCCATTCTCTTGCTCAAAGTCTGCAAAGAGATGTAATAAGGATTAATTTCATTTGTAAATCTCTTTAACATGTGGAGAGAATTAACATTTTGATACACATAAAAATTCTTGATTTCATGCTATTAAGAAAAGCAAATTTTTGAAAGAAGACATGTTTAAAATTTCGCATTCTTGCATAGTGATAATCCTTTGTCATGGTAAGTGCTCTTATCATTTGTGATTTGGGTCCTTTGACCAAATTTAGAATGTGTACATTATGTTCCTTTCAATGAGAGGAAATCAGTTGACTTATGGAAATCAAGAGTAAATACACCAACTCACAAGCCCATTTCTCAGTTGAGTACAGAATTGGGGTGACAGAAGAACAGCTTGCAAATTAGATAACCATGTTATGTTTAGATCCATGGGGAATTTTATACCTACATCTACACAGCAGCAAGTGGATCACTTTCCTCATTTATAAATGAGGTATGGGCTTTCACTACATCTAGCATTGTACATGGAATCTTAACCCAGTTAGTATCCATATCTAGAATATGCCAAACAAGAAGAAGAAATTTCTAAGTTCTCTACTTTTAGATGACAGGATTTCAACCTTTGAATAATTGCATTCTCAACTAGTTGTTGATTTTGATGTTTGATTTGTCACTAACATTTTGTGAAGGCTCTTTTTTTTTTGGGTAAGTATTTTGTGAAGGCTCTTACACAAAGTGTTTTGCAGAAATTACAGAATCTACTGGCGCAAAATAAAAAAATTAGCCCTTCATTTACCCTGAGGTTTTCTCCCATTCACATTAATTTTTGTTTTCACATGCAAATGAACTCTCTTCCCATGTATAGCTTGGACAACAATCTTTGACTTTACATATTAAAAAAAAAACAATCTTGGACTTTACATATTAAAAAAAAAACAATCTTGGACTTTACTATTCTAGGAGATTTACTTCCTTGATGGAAGTGTTTCTCTATTGGTGAACTCATTTGTCATTGCGGCAGCTTTACCCTTTTGATCCTTACCATCCAACTTCTTCGTTTTTCTGTAAATTGGGTATGTATGGCATTCATGTGTGTTTATTGCAATGGACAAAACATGCCAAAAAAGTAAATAAACAAAATAAAACAAAACTAACAAGGAAAACTCACGTCCGATTCCCCAGATATTCTTACTTAATTAGCCGAAAATTTCTTAAGAAATAAAGACCACTGATCTAAAATGAAATATACCTACTTCATAATCAATATTCAATATACACGAGTGAGTAGAAGGGGACTACGAATTACATAATCAATGAACCAAGTTCATAATCAGAAGGAACCAATTGCAACAAAAAGTAGCAAGTCGACGAGAAAAAAAATTCAGGAATAACAAAATAAACAAAATACAACAGCCAAAAGATTTCATGCTTCTGAGGGAGCATACTATCCAGTTACTCCCTCGGATAAAACCCGACTTAGGAGAAATTTTAGGATCCCAAATTTTGTGGATGCAACGTCGTCGTTAATCAAGAGGCTAAACTCAAAAAAGCAAAAAATTTCCATGCACTTGAAAAAAGTAACGTATCGAGATTGAACCAAAACCGTCCTTAAAAAATTTTCAAACTTTGTCTCTTGGAAATAATTATCTAGTGATTCTTATCCCAAAAATCCAACTAAGTGGATTTTCTGCCCGAGAGAGTAGATGAACAGTATATGCTCCTGCAGGAGATGAGTATACGAACCATACAATCAAAATAATTTTATTGTGTAAAAATGACTTTTGAGGATATATCAACGAAAATGAGAAATATATTTGCCCGAAAAAAGGAAAAAGAGAAACAAGGAGATAATAGCCATAAAATTTAACCAAGCAGCTAAGAAATTCATGCATAAAATAAACGACAAAGTTGATTAACTCAGAAATTCATGCAGAGATTAATAAACAAAGTTGATTAACTCAGGGCAAGAGCTGAGATTACCTTTCGAATGACAAAAACCAAGCTAAAGAGAAATCAGGAATGATATGCCATAGAAATTCAGCTGAAAAACCACATCAATTTGAGGAAAACAGAGGAGTAGGTGGAGAGAGGGACCGGTATTTTGAAAGAGAGAGAGAGAGGATAGAGAGAGGCGTAGAAAGGGGACCAAAAGAAGGGAATTAGGTTCCCTTCTTTGAGGGAGAGGAATTGATGTAAAGGGATCTTCTTGCTTGTCATTGAGGTAACAATTCAGAGGCCACCCCAATTTGACAGACGCACAGATAAGAGAAAACACTTAATATAGGAGGGAGAGAATCCATCTAGAACACACTAGGTTCTTACAAGTCCTGACTACTATAAGAGCCAAAATTGCAGACACACACCTGTTTTAGAAGTTTTTACAAAAACCTGAGAAATCTTAAAATATTTACTAAAATTAACAGAGGTTCAAAAAATTGACCAAAACTACCATGAAAACCGCATCTGACTGATTCCCTCTCTTGTTCCTGAAACTGATTAGAACCCAAGCCAAACCAGCAAGTAGATGGTTCAACCAGCGACAGGCAACCTCGCCAATTGACCTCCATCCAGTTTTGCATAACAATGCCACAAGTTCTACTATTGCAAAGTAGAACAATATGTCACCCAAAATCTCAGAAAGATACATAATCAATTTTACAATTGACTCCACAAACAGTATACATATTGCATCAATTAGACATGCATCATGTCCCAGGCAATGAAAATGGTGATCAAGTTTATGGACAACATACAAGTTTAACTGGTTAAATGATACAGGCAATTTCCTCTCCATATTTTTCTTCCTTGGTCTAACAGTAACTTTTTCTTCAATTTTTGGTATGTGGGTTCTTTTTTCCTATTGATAACTGTTAAATTAAGCAGCAACTGGGGTCGGCACCGATGGTGGGACCCTATTTTCAGCAGGGATCTCCACAAACTCTGATAGGATGGCTCGAAACTCTTCCCCTGACATGGTTTCTTTCTCTAAAAGGACCTCCACAATCTTGTCAATGGCTTCACGATTGTTTTGAATGTGATCCAAAGCAATTTCATAAGCGCTGTCCGAAATGCGCTTCACAGCTGCATCAATGTCCTCTGCAAGCCTCTCCGACATGGAATTCCTTGCCATCATCCTCATGATCACATCTGAGCTTTGAGCAGAGGTGTCCATGAGAGACCATGGGCCAATCTCTGACATCCCAAACGTGGTCACCATCTGCGATGCGGTAAAGTTAAGATTCCCAAGCTTTCCAAACAAAAGCTTCACCCATGATGAACACACGCTCACATAGTCACACACCTCATGCGCACTTTCTATAGAAACAAACCTCACACGCATCAATAATTATCTACATGCATATATACAAATGTCCATTGAAATGCACCTCTTTTTGAAATGATTGATGGTAATGGTAAGATAATAACTCCTGATGGCGAACGTGACCCCAACGGTGGCATCCCCTCTTTGTCCATCACCAAACAATCATTTCATTAGATGGTCATCACCCCAATGGACAATGGCTCACAGCACATTGCATTGTGTATATTCTATTCTTCTCAATTTCAAAATAGTAGAATTCCGAGACTATTAAATATAGTATGACCCATATGACCATGGCAGAGTGGGTCATAGGAGTCATCCCCATCCCATAAACAGATTGTACAGTGGAGGAAGGAGGGATGCACAACTGAATCAATAACATGTTTGGTAGTGGACCCTGCCCGCCCATCATAGTCCAACCCATTGATGCGACAGGGTTGAGTCCTGTGACCATACTATACTGTTGCAGTGGTCAAATGGCCACACCATATTTGCCTACATTGGTACCACGAAAAGGCTTGTTTACCTGTTTGGCTAAACCAGTTATTTGCTGCAAGTCACCAGCTGCACCAGTAGTGACCTCAGGCTCACCAAATATTACCTCCTCCGCAGCTCTTCCACCGAGGCCCCCAACAATCCTTGCAAACAATTGTTGCTTTGAAATCAATGTTGGGTCATCCCCAGGAATGAACCAAGTAAGGCCCCTCGCTTGACCCCTTGGAACAAGGGTGACCTTTTGAACAGCATCATGTCCCGGAGTTAAAGTACTGGGAAAAAAAAAAATTATATATTAGCATTCGTTAACTCACAGCATTCAAATCCCTATTAGTCCCACTCCAAACGACAAGTTTCGACAAACATACAAAAATTAGTTGTATCCCTATATTGCCAAAAAATGCATATGAATCTATCATACTTTGAGCAAAGGTTTCTTAATAAAAAGAAACTAGTAGAAACTCTGCAAGAAGTTAAGATCTGAGACATAGTAATGGTAAAAGTCATAAAAGATATCATCCATGTAACTGATTTTTCTTTTGTCTTTTTCTAGCTGGGGTTTTCAAAGCTTGTGAGTTCCATTACAAATAACAGAGTTCACATCTTGTGGCATCTTAAAAATAGGAAGATCATCAAATACAGGTTCCGTATTGTATATGGTAGACAGCCAGCAGATCTTATGTCCATTCTCAGATCTAATATACAGATAAGCCTCCGTCAACTTTTGAAAAAAGAACAGGGACATTTAGTCCACTTTTAAAAGCAATCTCTCTCTCTCTCTCTCTCTCTCTCTCTCTCTCTCTCTCTACTCTCACTCACTCTCTCTACCTACCTACTACACCACCACACACACACACACACACACACACACACACACACACACACAC